ACCTCCCCGTTGCATGATCTCAGGACCTCACTGCTCCGTGCAAGTAGTTTAGGCACAAAGAAACCATCTGCTCATCATCCAGTCCTGGGAGTAGCATATAATTCTGAAATCATGACACATCAGATTCTTGGGACATGTCTACAAGAGAACCAAGGCATGAAGGGGTGTAATTGGTAAAGAATGGAGAGAGAATGTATGTGGTTGGATAAAAAATTGTTTTATAGAAACTATCCATTAGGACCATGGTTTATATATATAGTGTCTATGGAAATTAATATGTATAGCATTGTGACTGCTCTAATATATTATAGAAACACCAGAATAACTATTTTTTCATAAGTAGAAGTACAAGATTGAGAAGTAAATTGTCAAGCTTGTTTGGCTAATCTACGAGCATCTTGTTTAAATATTCGTCAATAAATCATGCAAAGATAATGTCCAATTAATCAAAATATACAAGTCAGAGCATGGGCGAGGGAGGGCGCGAGGGCGAGCTAAGCTGGCGAGGGTGGGTGCTATGGCGAGGCCACCGGATTTATAGTAGATGATTGATAGCGGTCTCTCTCTTTTCTTTTGTCTTAATTTTCTTTCCTTCTGTGTTAATTCTCTTTCCTTTTGCTTATTGCCATGTATGGTGGTGCATGCAAACATGCAATGTGTATATGGATAGCACAATAATTTTCTACTTCCTATTTTGCAAACATGCAATATTTAATCAAGGTGACAAATCACGGGCTTTCCTTTTCTCGCTGGTTCCTTTTCTTTTCTTCGCTCGCCCGTTGGACAGCGAGAGAGATGGGATCGATCGCATGGGGTGACAGACGGACGAACCAAGACAATTGTCGCACCAAAACGATATCCACACTTTGTTCTTTTTAGTTATAGGAGAAGAAGCCCCAACAAATAACTGTATTGGTCCGCTCTCTATTTATGTCTAGCTGTTCAAATATATAATTACAGTTTGACTAGAATCCAATAAAAGAATATGTGTTTCCACTTGTGAATTAACATTTCTATTAAGAAAAACACACTATAATTGGAAAAGCCATCTCTCCTTGTTTGGCCCCGTTCGGCTTACCGTAAAAGCCAGCTTGATCGGCTTCTTTTTTTAGCTGGAATAATATTTTTCTCTCACAACAATTCAGTTTTGACTTGTTTTTTAGCTAATTTCAGCCAAGCGAACGGGGCCTTTATCCTTTGTTCACGCGTGCACAAATATACAATTAGAAACCTCTAAATCTGAGTACACACTAATACCAATGTATTATATATACATTGATTTACACTCTTATACTTTATCATACGTCGTGAAATAACCAAAAATGCTATGCTTTGACATGTTGTCAAAAGATTTTTCCACGTAAACATGACTAGGAAGAACATAAGCATATATCGTCCATCCATCAGTGGAAACGGAAGACTAGCAGCTGACCGAGATGACGCAATGGACGACCCCGTGGGACGTGGCTTTTACCGGCCGGAAAGGCAGGCGATAAGCACAAACAGACGAGCACGAACTCATCCCAACTCCGAGCGAGGGCAGGCGCGGAGGCGCCCCACGAAAAGGCAACCGAGAAGCCAAGAAAATCCGCCGGCCTTTTCCTTGCTGCTGCCTTCCTTTCCTGCCCAACACCGCCTCCCTTCCTTCCATCGTCGCCACTCGCGCACGCACCCAACAACAGCGCCACCACCAGTTCGTGCGTGAACTCTCCTTCCCCTCGGCTCTCACCGCTCACGCGTCCCTCGTGCCCGCGCCGCGCGCTCTCCGCGGGGGCACGGCACCGCCGGCGCGCCGCCTCTGCGACCGGCATTGTGGAGCGCCCGCGCGCGACCCCGGCGAGGTAAAAGCATGATCCTCCCTCCCGCTTGGTGCGTACCCCCTCGCGTTGTTCTGGGCAAGGTTTGAACGGGGTAGCTGCACCGCGGTGCCCGCAGTAGATGCTGCGGTGGCGGTGCGGTGTTGCCTTGCGTTGCTCGTGCTCGTGGCGCTTCTGCTGCTACTGAGTTCTCTTGCCTCCTCGCTGCCTTTCCCCTTGGTGTTGCGCTCCGTGCACTGGATTGGTTCTGTGGGTTTCTGTGCACTGGTTCTGTGGGTGGTTCATGGCCCCGGCAGCCACGGGGTGCCGGTGGTAGCATGTCGGGGCGTGAAACTCTGCCGTCCTAGTCGTCCGTGGTGTGGCGACGGCGCCGCCATCGGGCTTCATCCGGGATTCCGGGTAAATAATCGTGGGAAAGCACAGGGGTTCAGTTCGGACGAGTTGGGCGCTGTTTGGAGGCTTGGAGCCTTTGGTTTCTGATGATTCTGTTCTTCGCGAGTCTCATTTTTTTTTCGTTTTTAATTGTTTGCCATTTTTTCCTGGGAGAAAAGGCGTTCCATTTCGCTCCTCCAAATCCCGCACCCCCATTTCGCTCCCCGTGCCGTGGCTTCAATTCCTTCGTGCTGTCTCGGGCTACGTGCTAGTAGTTGTACTGGTTGTTTTCTAAGGAATGCTTCTATTGAATGCGACTGGAGTATTTAATTGGACTTGGTTGGTCAGCATGCACAGCCACACTGCCACACGGCCCGATAAACAAATCACAACCCAAATGATGGCCCAAGTCCCAGGTGGAGAAGAAACATCCCAGCAGCCAGCAGCTTCTGCTGCAGTGCGTGTACTGATCTACTGTGAGATCAACAGTTCAGTAAACCTGCTGGGATCAAGCCAGAAAATTCTGATCTGCTGTAGTGCTTGTACTTACTTAGTACCCGAGAGCCTTAGATTGATATGGTTCATCTGGTGTACGAGTTTGGCAACCTGTGACATGGTTCCGAGGGTAACTAAACTGAAGTTCCTTCTTTGTCCTGTATGTTTGTAGAACTGTTGATGTAGTTGCTATTTGGCAAAATTTAACGCATCTGCAGTGATCGGCATGACAATATTTGCTATCACTACCTCTTTATTAGTTTGAGCGGACGCTATGAAATATAATGGCTCTCAACCAAGGCTAACCATCGAATTGACATGGTGTTGACTTTTTTTTTCTCCAGGATATGTATTGATATACGTTGCCGCTTTGATTTTTGGTCTTCTTCTTCTGCCACTACTTGAATGGAGAAGGCTATCAAATTAAAGGTATTGACAATAGTTTCAGTTTCAGTTGTCGTTCTTCTTCTGCCACTACATGCATACAGTTCTCGGAACTACAAAAGTTTGCACACTTTGTATATGTAGTGGGTTCCTTTTAAGGCACTCCCACTTATCTACTTGAGAAACAAAATTAGCCCTAAATTTATGTAGGAGCTAATGTAATTAAAATGATTAATAATATATTAACTGTCTAATTAACCTGCTAATGCTGGTGCCACGGGATTTTATTTTAAGGTCATCATCAACAAAAGGAAACTCTTCCAGCTTTGATAGATTTTGTCCTTCAATTCCTCTGGCTTCCTTCCTTACCCCAAATCACGAGATAGCAATGCAATATATAATCTCCCTTCCTTGCTCGCAAATGATGTTGCAATGTTGCATGCATAAGCAGCAGGTCATCAGGACTAGAGTACTTCTTTTTCATACGGGATACTCTGAAACTAGACAGATACTTCCAGCAGCGCACTTTGATTAATTTTCCTTCTTGAAACAGTAGATAAGTTCTTTGCTATCTCTCAGGATACACATTATTATTATTATCTCCTCTCTGAGTTTTACTACGTAAATAAAAACAGCAAGCAGTCAGTTCACATTCCGGAGCATTTCAGTCATTACAATGGCAGCAAACATGTGCTGGTACAAAACGATCCACAAGTACATAAGCTTTGTTTGGCAAGGTTACAGCTCTAAGCTCCACAAAGTAGTTTTAAGCTTGTTTTAGTCTAAAACGCACACAAGATGGTTCATCCAAACACCATCATGTGCCCCAGCTCTATGCTCTGCCAAACATGCTGTACTCAGCTCTATGCTCTGCCAAACATGCTGTACTAAACTACTAAAGTACAGGAATCAAAACCAGTAACTGATGTCTGAATGTGGACTTCCATTTTTTTATGACCTACCTCTGATCACATTTTTTATATCAGCTGACCTACCTCTGATCACATTTTTTTATGACCTCTCCCTTGTAGCCCCCTTTTTCTTCTTCTTAATGAAATGACACACAGCTCTCCTGTGTCGTTCGAGAAAAAAATATCAGCTGTCACAATGTCACTCCTCTGTGAAACTGTATTCTTTAATTAGTTTCTGAAATGACATCCAATTAGCACTTTTAGCTCTATGTCATTGCCATCCTGTGTGTTAGATCAGTAAACAGTATGTGTTCTAAAATAATTTGTCATGTCCAGATGTTGTATGGTGCATGTCACATTCACACCAATTGAATTAGTAGTATCTCATCTCTTGCTATAAATGTTTGTAATGTTGGATACGAATGAAAAGATTAGAAAGAACGTTGCATAAACGGTAGCACACAAATGCTTTATATCAGGTACATATGCACAATATTAGTTTATATGCGCACCTGCTTGGTGCATGGTATAATTGGGTAACAAATAAAGCATGATTATGGTTATATTAGGCAACAAATAAATATTTTATTTCATGCATGCTATCTTTCCAAAAGCATGATTAGTTTGGAGCCTGCTAGTTTTGGAGCACCTTAAAATTTTCCATGTGTAGTTCAGGGTTTAGGCATTAAACAAAAGTATGATTAATGGTCTCATTTTAATTTTGTCTTTGTGCTCTTTCTTTTTTTAAATAACCAACCAAAAAATCTTAATGTCCTGTTGGAGGCAGAGCCAAGTTTTTAAAGATCTGTTCCAGGACATAAACTATCTATTTGGTTTCAGGATATGGCTTGGTCCAAAACATTTGAAACCAGATTGCCACTTTAATTGACTTCTTTTGTAAAGCTGAGGAAAAACTATGGAACATCTTTTCTCCTGCAGCTCATGTTGATCCTGTGTGGTCCTTTTGTAGCTGCTAACTTTACTATTTTCTTTGTGCAGATTACAATTTGAACTGCTGGCAATGGGACCCCATTGTTTCTTCATCTTGATCCTACTGATATGCTTCACCCCCAGCTCTGCTTTGGCTGGACATAATGATATAAATACCTTGTTCAAACTGAGGGACACGGTCACTGAAGGGAAAGGATTTCTCCGTGACTGGTTTGATTCAGAAAAAGGCCCATGCAGTTGGTCAGGTATAACTTGTGTGGAACATACTGTAGTGGAAATAGACTTGTCCTCTGTGCCAATTTATGCCCCATTCCCGTCATGTGTCGGGTTATTCCAATCACTTGCTCGTCTCAACTTTAGTGGTTGTGGGTTTTCTGGTGAGCTTCCAGATGCCTTGGGGAACCTGCACAATCTTGAACAGCTTGATTTGAGCCATAACCAGCTTACAGGGGCCCTTCCTGTTTCATTGTATGGACTGAAGACATTGAAAGAAATGGTGCTTGACAATAATTTCTTTTCCGGGCAATTGAGCCCCGCTATTGCACAGCTTAAGTACCTCAAGAAGCTTTCTGTGTCCTCGAATTCTATCTCTGGCGCCATTCCTCCAGAGTTGGGCAGTCTGCAGAATCTGGAGTTCCTGGACCTTCACATGAACGCACTTAATGGGTCGATACCAGCAGCTTTGGGTAATCTGTCTCAGCTCTTGCACCTTGATGCTAGCCAGAATAATATATGTGGCTCAATATTTCCAGGAATAACTGCAATGACAAACCTAGTTACAGTTGATCTCTCTTCAAATGCTTTGGTGGGGCCACTACCTAGGGAGATTGGTCAGCTACAGAATGCTCAACTGTTAATATTGGGACATAATGGTTTCAATGGAAGCATTCCAGAAGAGATCGGTGAACTAAAGCTGCTGGAAGCGCTTGAGCTCCCTGGATGCAAGCTCACAGGCATCCCTTGGACAGTTGGTGATCTCAGAAGTTTGAGAAAGCTTGATATTTCAGGGAATGATTTCGATACTGAACTCCCGGCATCTATTGGCAAGCTGGGAAATCTGACTCGTCTATCTGCAAGGAGTGCTGGACTTACTGGGAATATTCCGAGACAACTTGGTAACTGCAAGAAGCTTGTACTTGTTGATTTCAATGGCAACTCCTTTTCTGGCCCTATACCTGAAGAACTTGCAGGTTTAGAAGCCATTGTCACATTAGATGTGCAAGGGAACAATCTATCTGGTCACATTCCAGAGTGGATCCGGAATTGGGCGAATCTTCGTTCAATATATCTGGGGCAGAACATGTTCAATGGACCCCTGCCAGTACTGCCATTGCAGCATCTAGTTATTTTTTCTGCAGAAACCAACATGCTATCAGGTTCTATTCCTGGTGAGATTTGTCAGGCCAACTCACTGCAGTCACTCAGGTTGCACAACAACAATCTGAATGGGAATATCATGAAGGCATTTAAAGGGTGCAAGAACCTTACGGAACTTAACCTGCAAGGAAACCATCTTCATGGTGAGATACCACATTACTTGTCTGAGCTACCACTAGTAACAGTTGAGTTGTCCCAAAACAACTTCACAGGAAGGCTGCCAGAGAAATTGTGGGAATCATCAACTATTCTGGAGATCACACTCAGCTACAATAAGCTTACTGGCCCTATACCTGAAAGCATCGGTAGGCTCTCCAGCTTGCAGAGGCTACAGATCGACAGTAACTACTTAGAAGGGCCTATCCCACGGTCAATCGGCGCTCTAAGGAATCTGACAAATCTCTCTCTATGGGGCAATAGGCTGTCTGGGAACATTCCACTTGAGCTCTTCAACTGCAGAAACCTTGTCACCCTGGATCTAAGCTCTAACAATTTGTCTGGCCACATCCCGAGTGCCATATCTCACTTGACATTTCTCAACAGCTTGAATTTGTCTAGTAACCAGCTGTCCAGTGCTATACCTGCTGAGATCTGTGTTGGATTTGGGAGTGCAGCTCACCCTGACTCAGAGTTTGTTCAGCATCATGGCTTGCTTGATCTGTCATACAACAGATTGACTGGCCATATCCCAACAGCGATCAAGAATTGTGTTATGATTACCGTCCTCAACCTCCAAGGAAATATGCTAAGTGGTACCATTCCACCAGAGCTTGGAGAACTGCCAAATGTTACAACCATCTACCTTTCTCATAACACATTAGTTGGCCCCATGCTTCCTTGGTCTGCACCATTGGTACAACTGCAAGGCCTTTTTCTCTCTAATAACCACTTAGATGGCTCCATTCCTGCTGAGATAGGCCAAATACTTCCCAAAATGGAAAAGCTAGGCTTATCCAGTAATGCACTTACTGGAACACTACCCGAGTCTTTACTCTGCATCAATTACTTAACCTATCTGGATATCAGTAATAACAGCCTCTCTGGACAAATCCCATTCTCTTGTCCTCAAGAAAAAGCAGCATCAAGCTCCCTGATATTGTTCAATGGGAGCAGTAACCATTTCTCAGGGAACCTAGATGAGTCTATTTCAAACTTCACACAACTGTCTTTTCTTGATATCCACAACAACAGCCTCACTGGAAGTTTGCCCTTTTCACTTTCTGATCTCAGTTATTTAAACTATCTTGACCTCTCAAGCAATGACTTCCATGGTCCCGCCCCTTGTGGTATCTGCAATATAGTTGGCCTCACATTTGCCAACTTCTCTGGTAATCACATTGGCATGAGCGGCTTAGCGGATTGTGTTGCAGAAGGCTTTTGTACTGGAAAGGGTTTTGATCGGAAAGCACTTAATTCATCTGGTAGAGTTCGAAGAGCAGCAATCATTTGTGTTAGTATACTCACTGTCATCATTGTCTTAGTTCTTCTGGTGGTTTATCTGAAACGGAAGCTATTGAGAAGCAGACCCTTGGCTCTTGTACCTGTCAGCAAGGCCAAGGCTACCATTGAACCAACCTCAAGTGATGAGCTCCTAGGGAAGAAGTTTCGAGAACCCTTGAGTATCAATCTTGCAACATTTGAACATGCACTTCTGAGGGTCACCGCAGATGATATTCAGAAAGCCACGGAGAATTTCAGTAAAGTGCACATTATTGGGGATGGTGGGTTTGGCACTGTCTACAGGGCAGCACTTCCTGAAGGTCGGAGAGTAGCGATCAAGAGGCTTCATGGTGGCCATCAGTTCCAAGGTGATCGTGAATTCCTGGCTGAAATGGAGACAATTGGAAAGGTGAAACATCCTAACCTTGTTCCTCTACTTGGCTACTGTGTATGTGGTGATGAAAGGTTCCTGATATACGAGTACATGGAGAATGGGAGTCTTGAGATGTGGCTCAGGAACCGGGCTGATGCCATCGAAGCACTTGGATGGCCAGACCGCCTGAAGATATGTATCGGTTCTGCCCGCGGGCTTTCATTCCTGCATCATGGCTTTGTGCCCCATATCATCCACCGTGACATGAAGTCAAGCAACATTCTATTGGATGAGAACTTTGAGCCAAGGGTCTCTGATTTTGGCCTTGCAAGGATAATCAGTGCCTGCGAGACCCATGTCAGCACTGACATTGCTGGTACATTTGGCTACATACCTCCAGAGTATGGCCAGACAATGAAGTCCTCTACAAAAGGTGATGTCTACAGCTTCGGTGTTGTCATGCTTGAGCTGCTCACAGGGCGGCCACCTACAGGGCAAGAGGAAGGGGAAGGGGGTGGAAACCTTGTTGGCTGGGTGCGATGGATGATGGCACATGGTAAGGAGGATGAGCTGTTTGATCCTTGTTTGCCTGTCTCAAGTGTGTGGCGGGAACAGATGGCCCGTGTGCTCGCCATTGCCCAAGACTGCACTGTGGACGAGCCATGGAAGAGGCCAACTATGCTGGAGGTGGTGAAGGGCCTCAAGATGGCCGAACCAATAGAATGTGGACCTCTGGTTGTGACAGTCACTAAGGACATGTAATGCCGATGTATGGAACTGGGTGTTCAGCGAATGTTGTTCTTGTGTTGATATAATAATGTAGGCTCCTTGTAGCTGTAGCTGTACTGGTGACTGTAATGAGAGAAACTAATGCTGCTCATGTTCAGGCTGTAGTTATTGATGTAACCTTTTCATCTGGACCCAAGCAAGCACTTATGATATGGCAGGGATTGTTTAAGCACATAAGATGCAGTGACTAGGTATTTCATAGAATTGCCCGTAATGGATTTAGCTCTTGTGATTTTGCATTCTACTACATTTCTGCTTTGTTGTTCTGCTGCATTGACTGAAAGTACTTGTATGAGCAACCCTAGAATTGCTAGATTCAACTCATGCCAGTTTGGCCTGATTACTCATGTATTCTTGCTGCCTCAATGGTGCTATACTGCTGCTGTGTAGGAATTTGTGTGCAACTGGAACGTGTTGACTACTGGTGACTAATGAGAGAAACTAATGTCACTCATGTTCAGGCTGTAGATGTAACTGTTTTATCTGGATCCAAGTACTTTATCTGGCATTCATGTGGTAGGGAGTGTTTTACAAGCTCAACAGATCACTGTATTCTTGTTTTCCCCCTTTTCCCTGTGTTAAGTACTAAAGAGAATTAGCAGGCGTAGATTCATTTTTGTTTCTGTTAGATCACACTCAGCTCATCTGATATTGCATTCTATTTTGTTGTCTCACTGCTTCTTGGTCTATGCTTGAGTAATTCAGAGAATTGCTTGTGATAATCTCATGGCCCTTTGCCCAGATTCAGCTTGTGATGATTTTTCATTCTTTGGTATTTCTGACGAAGTGATGATGCCATACACCCTGTGTGCTCACTAGAAGTTTTGCTTGCCCCCTGTGCTGAAGCAATTCTAAGGTCATGCTATTTCGAAGCAGTTCTAAGGTCACGCTATTTTTGCTAGACTCAGGTATCGTTACTGGTGCAACTGCAGCATAGCAACTTTCCTGCACAAAGGCAGTGGGGAAGGAGATGAGAATGAAGAACTGAACAATTATGCATAAAATGGACAGACGGAGCACTCGCAGGAACTCTTTATCTGAAAAAAAAAAGATATACACTTGATGCAGCCTTAGTGTTCTGACTTCTGAGCATCTGACAGCTGTATTATTGGAAGGCTTCAAATAGTGCTCGGATCAAAGTAGCAATTTGCTGTTGAGAACTAAGATGTACATGGATCATGACCGCCGGATTGATTGCCGAGTCTCCGGTAGCTGCAGAGTGAATCTGGCGACTGTAATGTTGGCATTCATATGGCAGTGCAGGTCCATACGGTCGGATAACAAGCCCACGGACTAACACGAACAAAAACAGTTGACTGTTTTTCCTGACCGTTTGCATGGATCCCGTTTTAACTCGAGATTTTCCGTTTTATTTCCCGTAATTTCCCAGTTTAGTTATGACCCAAAAGCTCAGACAAAACCTTGCTCGTCTTTATAGTTCATCTGGGTGCCTGTGCTTCATCGCTTGCCCGAGGTGGGACTAACTGCGCGAAGCTGTGCTACTGGTACAACCAATTAGGTGTGCATATATATAGATATGCACATGGGCCACGGCCGATTAGCTGTATTACGCGCTGAAGCATCCAGGGAGTGCTGAAAATGGATGGAAAAAAATCTTGTCCTGACCCGATCTATTTTCTACTTTTGTCTTGCATGTTTTTCGTATTTGCGGGATCTAGTTTTTGTATTTATGGACACGGGAGAGGATGTTTTTTTTTGGGGTTTCATTTTCATTCGGGGCAAACCTGCATTTACCCGTTTTCAATCAGGATATGCCTAACAATTATTTGTCCTTACGTTATGTTAGTACACCTACTTATTTTTTTTCTAAGTGGAACTTCCATGTGCATGCAAGTGAATATGCTCATAAGTGTGTAGTGTTGTGTGACTTTATACATCCTTATCATTGACTTAATTTTCTGGCTTTTCGTTCGTGCTTCTCTGTTTTCGTATATCCACATATCCTAATTCCATTTGTGATTCTGATCCTATTTCTGCCAAATGTGTATGGTGGCCAATAAAAGCAAGGAGCAGGTTGAGATTTCTATTTTATTTTTTCTTTGCATTTTTGCAATTGGGTTCTAAAGATTTTATGACAATTTAAAAGTAATGTTTGATGTTAGTTTACGGCTCGGATCGTTGATCTTTCGATTTTTTTAAAAAAATAATATTTTTTATGATTAATTGCAAATCTAGCATATGGAATCGAAGAATCGTAAATATAGTATTATGTCGGCAACTAGAGGACCGATAGGGCTCCTATTGGCAGCTGGAGGTCCGACAACCAGTAGTTGACTGGACTCCATATACGATAGCCCAGCGGGCCATATCGGCCCCCTGATAGCCGATAGGGTCCTATCGGCTCGTAGTAGGCCGACATGCTACAAAAAAGCAGGCGCCCGTCTTCTCCCTCGCACTCTCTCGCTCTCCCCCTCACGCCTCCTCTCTCTCTCTCTCTCTCTCTCTCTCTCTCTCTCTCTCTCTCTCTCTCTCTCACCGCCCCGCCTTCACCCGCCGCTGTTGGCGCCACCCAGCCGAGCGGGTGGCCTCCCCTCGTCGGCAGCAGCCGGATCCGGCGGAGGGTGCGTGCCGCCGCCCCCCACCCTGTCCACGCGGGTCCTCGGCATATGGAGTCGACCCCACCGGCACGACAGCACCACCCTCTAGACTAGTGGACTTACCCTATGGCCCAACTTCGTCACCGAGGAGGACAGCCCGGGAAGCGTGGTCGTTGAGGAGGTTGACTAGTACTGTTGGTATGGTTGTATGCTTCCATGGACATGAACTAATGTAGTCTTGGATTCCTAAAGACTCCAAACGTATTAGTCATTTTCTAACAAATTACTGGAGGCAACGGTCTAGTAGAGTCCTAGCCTGCATCGAGGCAAAGGACAAATCAATAGAGAAACGTAGTTGGCTTTACAGGTTGATACGCTATTCAGGTACCGTCACTTCAACAAAGGAATCCGAGTACGCATATATGTGTAGCCTTTGCAGTGAGTTGTCACGTTATCGTTGTTTAGCCTTTCCAACTAGTTGTCACATTTATCCTTTGCGTACCTGGGCCGACAAAATAAAGGAATACAACATAAAATGGTGCAATTAGCATCGCAGGGACAACTAGTTGTCTCGGCTGCTGGATAACCGACTGTCCTGTCAGCCTAGCTGACTGGGACTATCGGTCGCCCAGATGCCGATAGTCATGCAATTGGCGCTGACAAGCCGACTCGGCGGGCGTCAGCTGCCACATCCACGCCAGGTAGGCCTATCGGCATCTGAACTGCCGATAGAGTTCAGTCGGCTTAGTTGCCTATAGGGTACTATATCTACTATTTTTATATAACAGCTTTATATTTGCAATTAATTATTAAAAAATGTTTTAAAAAAATTCTTGATCTTTCCGACGTTATGGACGTGTATTTGACGGCATTGTATCGTTTCTCGTGTCCTGAATTTCCGGTTTCTATTTTCCCAGCTGGCATCTTTGATTCGGTTTCTATTTATATATAAAAATGTGAATAGAAAACAGTTAGGTTGGTTTTCCGGCCGTTTTCATCCTCATGACACGCTGCAGATCTCACGAGCTTAGGAGATTCCGTTATTTTACTACCAGTGCTAAGGTTCATCGTTATTTTTCTTATTTATGTTATAGATCTAACACATGATTTTGTATTCTACACCTTCCGTACACAAAAAAATGTAATTCTCGCTTTTTGAGAAGTCAAAGAGTTTAAACTTTAACTAAATTTATATTAAAAAGTATTAACATTCATGATACAAAATAATTGTTATTAGATTAGTTGTAAAATATATTTTCATAGTAAATTTATTTGGGAGACATAAATACTAATACTATTTACTATAAATTTGATCAAAGTTAAGTCAGTTTGAATGGCACGGATTATATAATTGTATTCTTTTGTGGGTGGAGGGAGTACTCTGTTGTCATTTGTGCCAAACTTTGGAAGTACTTCTTGTCGTGTATTTTAGTACTTGAAGAATTGCTAGCACTAAGGCTATCGTCTTTTATTTAGGTTCAGCTCACCATGTTGTTCTTGCAAGACTTTCACTAGTGCTATTGCTACGTAGGAATTGGTACGCAATTTTGCTGTGCAAAAGCAAACTAAATTATAGGCTTTTAAAGAGGGACAGAGATAACGCACGATGGATAGCGCGTTTGGAAAACACGCGACTGGTAGCGTATTTGGGAAACACGCGACCCGTCTTCTCCGCTGCGACGCGCCCTCCCCTGTTGTCGGGTATTAGTATTAAGGATACCGAAGAAGGGATCTGAGGACCGCGGACGACGACTCGCCTAGATAATCAAAGACGTATTTCAGTCTTGACCGACCCCGAAGGGACGGTCTCCGTCTCGCCCAACCATGAGGGTACGGGCCCCGTGTCGCCCGACCCCTAGGGAACAGGAGCCGTGTCGCCCGATCCTGAGGGCACGGGCTCCGTCTCGCCCAACGGGGACCCATACCACCTCTAACCACTACGGGTAAGAAGGTACGACCCCGTGGTCAAACTTATGACACCGGACGGGGAGCATGCACATCTCGGCATGACCCATGGCCACGTCAGGCCACGCCCGGAGGTTCACATCGCCAACAGTGACGGATGCGAGATCGTTGTGCTGCCTACTCCCTATACGGCAGCTGACCGGCACGTCCGGTTCGCTACGCCGTCTGCCAAGATGGGATGGGACGCCAAGACCAGCTGATGATTTCGGGGCATGGCACCAGTGGTGAACAAGAGCCCAACGTGGAGCCATCTCCGTCACCATTCTACAGCGTCGCGCGGGACCCACGTAAAGGAGAAGAAGGATCCAACGGCCCTGGAGGCCTTCTTCTCCCTCGCTTTTCTCATTCTTTCTCTCTATAACCTACGCCTTCCCCTTCACATATAAAAGGGGAAGCAGGACGCCCAAAGAGGGGGTGACGGCGAACGAACATAGAGCTGAACGAGCTCAACAAGACTTGACTCCATTCGATCTTTTCACCAGAGACTTGGGAACTTCTCCTCTCTCGTCCGTTTGTAACCCCTACTATAAACTAGTGCCGGTAACACAAGCAGCAACAGACTGGACGTAGAGACATTCCGCCCGAACCAGTATAAATCCTTGTGTCCTCCGAGCACACCATCCGGCCCAGACGCGCAGATACAAATTTACTAGCCGGTGATCCGAGACACCGACACCTGTCTTCTTCTCCCTCCTCCGCCCCTCCCCCACCCTCCACCTAAAGCGGCCAGCGGTTCCCGCTGCTTCACCATGCCGCCCACCTCTCCCCTCACCCATCGACCCCACCCTCCCGTAATCATAGGGAGGCATGCTGGCGGCGTCTTCCTCGTCCTCGCCCCTGCCTCCGTCCCTCAACCACGCCCTCCCCTAATCCCAGACGGCGATGAAACTCCAACGCGACACACCTGCTGCCAGCCCCACCCAACCATCATCTCTCGCCGCCCCAGCGCCCCCCTCCCCCCTCCTCGCCCACCGTGTCACGACCGCCGCCCCCAAACTCTAAGCCTGTTGAGGAATAGATCTCCTTATCTCGAAACTCTCACACCAACGAGCTTCTTGTCAGAACCCTAGCCGCCACCACGCGTGGACCACCCCGTGTCGCGCGGTCGTCCACGGGCGCGACCGGTCGGCGTTCAGAGAGTGGCCGAGTGATGCAAATGCTATTTCAGATCTGCCGAGTGCCGACCATTTGGCAAGCGCCAGGTGGTCAGCAGCCGCGGGCACTTCTCCTACCAGACGCAGAGGCAGAGCATCCTGATCCAGTTTCCGAGTCCCGAACCAAACCCATGTCCGCCGCCGCCGCCGCCGCCGTCGCGACTGCTGCCAGCGACTGGACCATAGTCCGCCGCCGCGGCCGCCTCCGCGGCGGCGACCCACGCCCCGCCTCCCAGCCCGACGCCCCGACGCCGCTCCCCGTGATCCCAATCCCCTGGTCCCCCTACGATTCCTCCCTCGACCCCGCCCGCGTCTCCCGCCTCGTGGCGCGCGCCCACGCCGCCATCTCCCGCGTCGCCGCCTCCCGCCTCTACCGCAGCCTCCTCCTCCAGGCCTCGTCGCTCCGCCGCCGCCTCGGCCTCCTCGCCCCCGCCCGCCTCTCCCTCCTCGGCGTCGGCAGCTTCGAGTCCTCCCCCGCCGCGCGCCTCCAGCTCGCGCTCGCCGCCCTCCTCCGCCGCGACCTCCTCCCGGAGGCCGCCTCCGCGGACCTCTTCGACCCCGTCCTCTCCGCCGTCGAGTGCGCGGCCGCCGCGGCGCTCGGCTTCTCCGTCCCGAGCCTCGACGACGGGTGCCGCCGCCGCGCGGAGGAGCCCACGCTCTTCTACATGCCCCACTGCGAGGCGTCGCTCTACGACGCGCTCCTCGCCGCCAACTGGGATTCCCCCGCGCAGCTGCGCCGCGTCTGCGTGCTCGGCAACAGCTTCCGGCGGTACGCGCTCCAGGCCGAGGAGAACCGCTCGGGCCCCGCCGCCAAGGCCCCGCATGTCCTCGCTGCAGAGCGGTTCGCGCGCGAGGAGCGGATCGGCGACACGGGTGATCTGGATGACGACGATTGGTTCGCCCACGCGTTCAACGAGACGAGCTGGCATTTCTTCGAGCTGCACGACGACGTCGACTTGGCCGCCACCATTGCTGTCGGAAGGAGATAAGTTCATTGAGCAGATGTGATCCTGTAGTTGGATATATTCGTGCGTTGCTTGATTGAATGCAATGTTGATCAAGATTCTAAATTTATCCTCTTTCGGGGCTCTTGGTGGGTTCAACGGTAGCCTACCCCAACTTGCTTGGGACTGAAAGGCTACATTGTTGTTGCACCGTGTAGATTGCAAGTTGTCAACTAGGTACCTGGCTGTTGCTCTGATAAAATAATTTGCTGAAGAGCTTGAAATGTGTTGATGTTATATTATTTCCACTAGAGATTGAGTTGGATTATAGTGAACTAAAGGTACCATACAAGTTCAACAAATTGTAGATCCAAAAAAAAATGTACATATTAACAGTACCCACTTCTTGATTAGTAGATGCTAAGTGTTCGTTCTGCTCAAGTGCTCAAGGAACACATGATTATCGCTAACTACACACTGTGATGTGAGTGTAGTACAAAAATAAAAATGAAAGAGTCCTATGCAATAGATGATTTTATTTTGTAAACCTTTAGTTTTTTGCACTTGTACAAGTCCAGCGGACCACCAACAAGAATGTCTATATTTGATATAAGGTCATAAGACGTCCGCATCGTTAGAATCTCAAATGAAATCCCTACCACTCTGGGTCTCATCACTTGATATCAAGATTTCTTATTTGTCAGCATCCAAACCATTACAAACTGCTGGCAGTTAGTGTCTTGATCTTCTAATGTTTGAGTTTATCCTCCAAGGAAATGAAAACTTAGTATGAACGTATATGTAACTTGAAAAATCACTATGAAAGGATATGTAAGTCAATTCAGAAACATATTATCTTTTTTTTTTTAAAGAAGAAACATATTATCTTGGCTGGCCTGGCAGAGCCTGAGCAGTGTTAACCATCTGAGAACTGGCCAAGGCAAAAAAGTTACAGTCGGTAGATGAAGCTACTGGATAGTAGTTCTAAAGGATGAGTGCTGACTGAGTACCCAGCTCACCTTGGGAAACAGTGGCGCCTTGTTGCCTTGGCTCCGCCGGCGTCCAGACGGACCCAACCCACGGCCTAGTCGCCTTTGAAACCATGACACTAGCTTCTAAGAGTGGAAATCCCCTCTCTAATGACTGATGACGACACCATGTTCTCTCTGCGCGGTCTCATCCCATCACCATGCCACTGCCATTTCCATGAGGTGAGGAAGGGGATTGAGATTTGTACCATCATAGCTGGTGCTCAGGTTTCAGGCCATATCCAGATGGAACAGGCCATGACCTGCAGATGAATGGGTGTCGGAGCCACCAAGCAAGCATCAACAACTCGGAACCACTAAGCAAACACTCCCAAATGTGAATCATCCAAGAAAGTTCAATCATGGGACTGTATCAAGGTAAGCACATCCCCCATATGTTCATGCACCGATGCACGCAACCTGTTCGAGTGTTCGATTGAATTGTTTAGAGGCTTAACTTTCCCTTATGCATAAAACAAATATGTGAAAAAAAAAACATCTTGATTACTGATTAGGTTCCAATGTTGTAAGTTACATAAATTCATTACTTTTATTAGTGTTTTTTTTCCCAGAAATGACCATAGTTCTTGCTATGAATTAGCATGACAGAAAATTGCCCCTGAGGGCCTACCCCAACTTGTTTGGGACTTAAAGGCTTTGTTGTTGTTGTTGTTGTAAGTATATAGGTCACCGTTCGATGCATTTTTGGACCTGGCTTTGTGCAAAAACTTTGTTGCTGAAACAAGATAATTAGAAATAAGCCAGAGTTTGTCCGTATAAAAGGCCATTTCATTTTAGATACTACAAAGTCCCTGTACACAGTAGGTCTGCTCAACAACAGAGGTAAAAAAGAGGGAGTAGCATTTTAAAAAGTAGAACCAGGCGAATTTAGCTTATTTACTGGGGTCAGCTGACCTGATGAAAACTGTAATTCCTTTAATAAAAACACTATTCAGATTGAAGAAATTTTCGTTCATGTAATAAAGTTGACCTTGATGGGGTTCTTGATTGGATTTGCCTCACTATAACCCATGTCCATGTTATGTGGCCCCTCCAAGTCACATTGCACTTTCAATAAGAAGGAAAATCATGTTCAGTGTGGGCGAGCAAGGCGAAGCATCTGGTGATGAAGATGGAGTTCTTCTATGACTTGGACACACTGCAACTGTTCCCGGAGGTTGATTTGGTTTGCTTCTTGGACAAACACCCCAAGATCTGCAAACTTGAGATCCCTGGTGCCATGTTCCCTGCCCTGTGCCAGAAAAATAGCCTGAATATTGTGAGTGGGAGGTCGTTCCTATTACTGCATTGAAATTGGTTTCTAATTTGATTGGTATGCTAGACAGTGTGCTATATAGCTAATTTGCTTGAATTGTGCATACAGTTGAATTCAAGGTTCCTCATCCCTGAAACTATAAGCCTATGTGCTTCTATCTCCAATTGTTTTTAGTTTGTTAGACCTGATCTCAGCTTCTTATCTTCTAAGCACTTTAGTTGTTGAATTTGCACTCTACTTGTTATGCTTTTCTGTAACCAAGTGCTGCTCTTCTATATATGGAACAACAAGCAGCTGTCTAAGTGCTGCCATCTGAAACCTACTCTCCAATTCTCCAAATTGTGGTGTCCTGGGAGTCCAACAATCCCTTGCTTGGAAGAGGTTCTGATCACTTTGTGCTCACCTCTCAATGCTGAACAGAAGATGAACACTGAGTCGCTTGTGAAATACATGTGTGAAGCTGCAGACCATGGTCATCCGAATCTCACAGATGAAGAATTGTCATGAAGTTGCTGCTGATTTCTTTGAGGAGACATGTAAGTTCAAGTACATGAACTACGGGGTAAATGTAAATTGAAGGCCATAATTCTCTCATCCGGACTCCGGAGTTTAAATTAAACGTTTCACACCTGCATTTTCGATTATTTCAGCGATGACTTGGGGTCTATCACGTGATTCCAGTTTGTCACGTACAGCGCTGTCAATTTTGATCGCGAACCATTTTCTTCTTTGTAACATTATTTTCGCTCCTTGAGGTGCATTTGCCCATGCTTACGAGACGTGAGCTTGACAAGTCACAACTTGGCTTTGTTACCTTTGCTTGAGCTGCTGTTGGTGTCTGAAACTTGATCAAACCTAAAGCCCCGACTGGATAGCTGTGTCTGTGTGCAGCAACGAATGACCTTAGTTTAACTTGTTTGTTACCTTAGTTTTTCTTTTCCCCCGAACGTGCCTTGGCGCGATGTTTGTTAACTTAGTTTGACAGTCAGAGCTGATAGGACTCTGCATCCCTGGCGCTCTGTCTGGTCTTGTGTATTGTCCCGGAAGAAAACGCAGGACCGTAGTAGAAGTGGCAACGAACCAAGAAACGTGACACACTACGGGCAGTACTAACCAAGAGATGATCAGATGAGCAATATCACTAGTACTAAACAAGAGATGAGCAGCAGGTTGGAATAGAATCCATGTGCGCATCGCGAAGCAGGCAGCGTGGCGGAAAGACCAAAGCGGAAGCCAACAAACGCCCGTGCCCAAGACACAAATTTTTCGGAACAGGAACCGATGACGCGGCTGGTGCATGAGACGAGAGCACAGCTGCAAGTGCCAAGTAGCCAACTGGGTAGTAGCTGTAGCAGCTAGCTTAGCTAGCACTAGTAGGTAGTAGCAGCTGGGGCTAACCCACTGATTGAGCGTCACAAGAGGAGGCAGGCACAGGCAGGCTACCAAACCCTGAGACTCAGAGGTTGCTGATTGCCGAATGCTGCTGAACCCAACATGCACGGACACTGTTCCTCTGGACCCAACCCATTGGTATCGTACTGTATCATCATCATTATCGTATCATATCACACGACTCGCCTCGGCCCCTCGGCAGAGCCGCAGAACAGAAGCACCACTTTGAATCGCTGATTAGCGGTACCGAATCATGGTCCTGCTTGCTTTACTTCCAAAATTTACGAAACCAAGGAATTGGCTGATTTTGGTTAAAATTTGGTTATCTATCAAAACTTATCAATTTTTCACATTTGATTTGCCAAATCTTTGACAACTTTTTTTGCCTAACTTTTGGCTGCCAAAACTTTGGCATATCAAATTTTGATCGTGAACCCAGCAGGCCAGCCCCTATCATACGAAATGCGATCCCCAATCATGAACGGCCTGGTCGCTGGCTTCAGTCCCGCTCCGTACGGACGGACGGACGGGGGCACACCGGCACAGCGCCACCGCCCACAGGTTACAGCCAGGTATGCGTTGTATTGTATGCAGTGCACAGTGCAGTGCAGGGATGATCCTCCACCTCCACCACGTGACCGGTCGTAGACTAGACGAACGGAAGCGCTGCTGGAGCCGGCCGGCGCGGGTGACATGACGCTGGACGGACGCGGGTGCCCGTCGCGCCCTGCCCCCAGGATCACGCAGCATCTCGTCGCGTAACGCAGCGGTGGCCACACGAACCCGTCCGATTCTACGGCCCGGCCGGCCTAATTAATCGCACGGAACTAGGAGTAGCTAACAACCCTCATGGGGTCATGAGCTCATGGCGCCGGCCTGATGATTCGGATCGTATCGGCAGGACAGGGGGGAGAGGGACGCGACACGGGACGGGAGGCGCATTGAGTGGCCCTCCGTCCAGGAGTCATCAGTCACGCAGCAGCGCGGACGGCGGCTCGTCCGATCCGGCGATGGTTATTGCCGTCACGGGCGTGCCACGGCGGGCGCGCGGCTCCCGTCGCGACGGGAACTCGGCAACGACAGCGAGTACATCAACGCCGACGCGTGGGACGGGACTGGACGGGACACGTACGTACGTACGTACGGGGCCCATGAAATGAAACCCAACAGACGAACAATGTACAGTGACGTTCGCCCGGGCCAGCTTCTCGGTGGCGAGGGCTCGGATTGGAAACGCTGGAACACCTCACTGGAAAATGCCGTGGATCGATTGACCTTCTTTTCTTCATCTTTGCAACACAGCAACAGATTATCCTTGCAGCGCTGGTCCGCCGTAGTAACTGGCTGTGGCTTGCACAGTTGCACTAGCAAACATTGTGCCCTGCGATCCGAAACGAAACGGCGACGACGACCGAACGGCAATCGGGTCACGTGAAGCGCAAGAGTCCAAGCCAACCCACCCAGACAGAGCGGAGGCGGGTGGCAGGGGCAGGGCACGGCGCGCAATTGGACATGCACAGAGCCACAGAGCGGAGTATACTGTGGGTGGAGTGCGACGCCGACGCGCACGACGCGACCCACGCTGGTCCGTCCGAATGACCGGGGCCAGGAGAAGCCAGCACTACCGGCAGTGCCAGGGGCCCAGGGGCAGGCAGACTGTTCTATCCAGTTCCGCCTTCCGCGGCAGATGCAAGGCCGCCGCCCTAGACTGACTAATCCCTGGCAGTGGCAGGGCAGTTTGCTTGCTTCCTCAGATCCTATCCACCACGGGAGACGGGAATATTGAATACGAGTAAGGCGTACAATCCGAGTGGCCAAACGACTAGTACGTACACTGCACAATGGACCGGTGTACCGACCGCCATGAACATTTCCGTGGAGCAGGAGCGTAGACAGGCAGGCAGGGAAACGGAGCGAGGAAGAATGATTCCTAGTCTGGGAAAAGAATCAACCTCCGAAGCCATTCTTGGCTTGCACCGGCAGGCACCACGAGCCTGGAGACGTCACCCATAAACGGCATGCGTGGATCCAGGCTATAGATGGCAACGGGATCCGATTCCCTGCAGGGAAATTCCCCTATTAGGGGACTAGGATGGAGTCAATTTATTCTCCACGGGGATGTAATCAGTAGCAAAACAATCCCCATCGAGACTGGCGGGGACGGGGATGGAAACCTATTCCCCGACCCCGATCCCCGTAAACCCGCCCTGAATATCACAGGTTCAGACACAACTCAAATCGGCCCACGAAGACCCAGCACCGACTTGAGTATATATGCAAAATCTAACCTTAATCCCTCAGCCCTTCTCAGTCACACGACCGGACTGGGACTACATCCCCTACCCGGCTGCCCCCATTGGCTCCGTGAAGCGCGAACAGTGGCCGTGCACGCCGCACGCGCGCGCATTCACGCCCGTCACATGGACGGGCGCGGAGCGAGCGAAGCGGACACGAGCGAGGCTGGCTCGGCCGTCGCCGCGCCAAGGCTGACGCGCGGGGCGGCGGGATGGCACGAGATCACGGGAGCCGGAGGGAGGAATCAACCGTCCGTCGAGCGCGGCAACAGGTTGGCACGGCAGACTATAGCTACCGCAACCGAACCAAACGTCCAAACCCAAACCCAACCACCGTCCACCGAGGCGACGCGCGCGAGGGGCGGCGGCAGAACAGTACACTGTACACAGACGGAGAGCGAGACGAGAGACAAACAAAAAGGTGGTGACGGCCAGAGGCGCCACGCACTAAACCCCCCATGGAGCAGCGCGTAAAGCGAGCAATTAAGATTTCGTAACGGCGGTAAGGAACAAGTAGCAGCAAGCCAACAAGGAGAGAGATCCCCGGGGAAAAATGGCTACGTACAGCGCCCCGCAGTGATGGCGCCAAAGCACAAGCAAACGAAGCACGCACCAACTCCGACGACACGGCGACGACCAGCACGGACTGACGGACGGCAAGGAGGTAGAACTAGCCGAGGAGGAGGACGGACAGACGCCAGGCGCTCGCGCCGCGTCGTCCGTCCCCAGTCCCCACCCTTCTCTTCTCTCCACATGGGAGCGAGCATGGGGCGGCAGAAACGGACGACGGCCTGTGAAGCCTGGTGTCTGACGACGACGAGCCCACCACCAAGGGCGTAGCGTAGGTAGGCGTGTACCACCACCTCTCGCTCTGTCTGACGCTAGCTGTGACGCCGGTGGGCAGCTCCGCCTCCGCTCGTGGTCGTGGCGCCTCCAGCGGCCTGGGCGGCCATGGCGAGCTCGAACTGCCGCATGGACAGCGCCGGCAGGGGCAGCGGGTACTGCTCCTGCGGCTGCGGGGGCGCCGCGGCGGCGGACGAGGAGGACGACGACGAGGAGGCCGGTGCAGGCGGCGCGGTGCGGTTCCAGGAGCGGAGGCTAGTGGTGGTGCTGGTGCTGCCGTCCCAGCCGATGTGGGCCACGTGCTTCACGTCCGTGGGGAGCCCGATCACCATCTCCCGCTCCTCCTCCTCCTCCTCGTCCTCGTCGTACACCGCGAAGATCTGGGACAGGTTCATGAACCCGCGCAGGAGCCGCGCCACCAGCGACTCCCCCTTGCCCCCTGCCGCCGCCGCCGCCGCCGCCGGGGCCGGCGGTCTCACCGACGCGCTGCCTGGCACCGCCCCTGTTTCAGCCCCTGCCACAGCAGCCAGAACACTTCAGCAACTTTTGTCACCCGTCGAAAGAACAGAACAGAAGCGAAGCGAAGCGAATCGAATCGAGCCAAGAACTTGTGGCGCGCGCGCACGCACCTTGCGGGTGGGGCTTCTTGCCGTGGCGCGCGGTGTCGGCGACGTCGACGCTGGACTGGGAGCGGCAGCCGGAGGAGAAGCGGATGGCGATGAACCGCCGCGGCGGCGGCGGCATCTGCTGTTCCCTGCTCATGGCGCTGCTGCTCACGGCCTCGCCAGCTGAGCCGAGACCGCACCGAAGCGACGAGGTTGCCCGGGGCCGGGTCCGGCGCTGCCTCTTGTTGACTTGCTGGTGGAGCAAGCAGAGCAGATAGCAGGGCAGGTGGCGAGGCTTTACTCCAGCGGAAAGGGCGCGTTAGGTCCGCACGCGCGCGCGCAGCACGGCAGTACGCATACGCACTACTGTCCCCGCCGTCCGGTCACTGGTCGCCACACACACCGCTCAGTTGGGGGCTGTGCAGGGGGAGAAGAGAGGCCAGCCAGATACGGGGGATGGGATACTATAGGCAGGCGTAGAAGTGGTGGTGCCACTACCAGTCTACCATGGCATACACTACTGCTATCGCTACCACTACTATATTGACATGGCCGCGGTGTGCCAGCGCAGTGCGGCCGGCCTCTGCTTGACTGCTCTGCTGTGTGGGGGTAGGAAAGGAAAGAGACGGGGCGGACTGCCGGAGTGGTTTGCGGGCGGGTTGGGTTGGGTTGGTTGGTGTTGGGTTTGGTACCCACCCGAACCCCAACGCCTTTCGGCCGTGGCCAGCGGGGCTCGCGGCACGGCACGGCAGGCAGACATGCGGACGGATGCACGGACTGACGGACGGGGTTGGGTTGGCCGAAGCAAGAGCCGGGGGCGGCCGTCCCGCCGGTGGTTTCGTCCGTCCCTGCGCCTGGACCAGCGCCGGTGTCCGGGCGCCCTAATTGCAGCACCCTCTCCTCCTCTGTCTCTGGCAGTGCCCGCTCCATGCCTGCCGTCGCCGTGGATACTGGATAGGCTGGGATCAGCCGGCCGGCCGGGCTTCCGAAGCCTGCGCCTGCCCTCAAGTGGTGGACTAACGCGGCGTGTACGCTTGTGCCGACGTGGTCCCTCTCTGTGCTGTACCGTGCGACCGTGTGTTCGTGCCACGTTCCGCGATCTTGCCAGCGCCAGTCGGCATCTCCACGGGGATGGATTTCGCGCGTCAGGGACCATGCGCTCATATACTGCGCCGCAAAATCCAAACCTGAATGCCATCATTTTATCCCGTTTCCGATAAGTTCAGATGGGCGCGGCGCGCGCAGCCAGATCGGTTTTAAACGAGGTCCTTTAATACGAGTTTTTGGGATAACGTGGTTAGAGCATCAGTATTCAATATTTTCTTCCTAAAAATATAAAATTTTATAACTCCTAAAAAAATATTGAAAGAAATAAAAAAACCATCTTTAAGAATTTCTAATAATCCATTCCTAAAATATGGAAGGCAATTTTACATCAGGAATCTTAAACTATTTCTAAATTATTCTAACCACTTTTATATATTCTTTCTCATTTGTGATATTTTCCTACACTTTAATCTTTTCACCCTTCCACTTTTTTATTGGCAATAAACATGAGCAGGAGAGAGAGATTGGCCAACGTGTAACATAAAAAAATGAGAGAAGATAAATTTAAAAAGATTAGACTTGTTGGAGAGATTTTTTCTTGTCTATTTAAAACCAAGGATTAGGAACAATTTAGTGAACTTTTGGAGATGCTCTAAAGATTAGGAGGATGAATTATAATCCGGACTTTTTGGGGGATTTTTCATCCTATCTGTTTTTCTCTAAAAAACCAAGGATTATGAAGTGATTTAGGGAACTCTTGGAGATGGTCTAACAGTATATTACAGTAGTTTCACTACACTCGCAACTCGCAAGAAAAAAAAGGAGTTTCATTCTTTTTTTTTACGATGAAAGAAGAATTATATTAGATAATAGCTGGGTACATGAACATATTATAAGCACTCTGGATTACACAAATATCCAGAAACTAATTTTCATCTAAATTATACCCACGTTGTGAAGCTCCAGATCTCAAAACCAAACATGTACGATGCTTTGCAGTATGGATGACCGTATAGACAAACACTCGGCAAAAGGCCTGAGAACATATGCCCAACGAATGACGGTCAACATTCATTTAGGCGGAATTGAGAAACTTCTTCTTTCTGGTGTCTTCCTTCTTCTTCTTTCTGCCATCGAAGAATGAGGAAGACTGATGTGAAATTTATTCTCCATAGTCCTTCATTGTAGCCAAATCTAACCACAATAAAACAAAGAAGAGACCGGAGAAAATTATTCCATGGCGGCGACACCATCTCCATCTTAATGTCGCCGTCCGAAATAAAAGTCTCCATGTCGTCAAACCGATGAGGATGCTGACACCGTAGTTGTTGACCGCGTCTTCAACAAAGCCATCATGGAGAAAACGATTCCACCCTGCCATCTCGCCGTCACCGGAGAGGAGGAGAAAATAAATCCCTAAAACCAAAAACTTAGACATGAAGAGATTCTAACCCTAATAACTCGATCTAGTAAAAAATTTATTAAAAACGATGGATCTCACTCTCTCTTATCTCCGGCGATATGCCGGAGGGGAGAGGGAGGGGACCAGCGATGGAGGTGGCAGCGGCGGCGACGGCCCAAAATATGAGATGCGTTTCCGTTGTACGTTAACGTTAGAAAGGATCCTGCTTACAGAAAGTGGAAATGGCGAGAAACAAATGCAGGGGGAGCAGTATTTCCACAGTAAAATGATGGGCTGCCATATTCATGGGCTTGGACACTACGGGGTGGACCGGAAACAAGACGGGTCCTGCCTGCCAAAGGGAGGACTTTGTATACCGGACGCGCGTGAACGCCAAATGGGCCAGAAACAAAAGGCAGAGAAGATTTTATGCTTGCAAATTGGACCATGGAAATAACCTTATCGTCTGATCAGATGGTGACAGGAACAATTTCGATTTCGATAGTTCAGTTCCAACTTCCAAGTAAGACAAAAGTGAGAACTGGGATACAATCATGCTGGCTCCTATGAGCCTCAGGCTCAGCTAAACAAAAGATGCTCCGGTTAGTTGGATGCAGAAGCGGGAGTTCCTCTTAATCATAGGCTCTTAACCACTCTGAAAGACTATACGGAAATACACACACATTGCGTAACACTATACCATTTTATTGCAACTTACTGTAACAACATACTTGAACAATCAATGACATCCCAGAAAAAATCTGTATGTAGTATAGCAAACACCAGAGTAACAGTTTGGTGTTGGCCAGGTCGAAAACGAATTCATCTACGAGTTTAAGTTTCACAGATTCCGGAGTGGCGCATCGGCCACTCACATCCTCGTCTAGGATAGGAAGCAGAGCATGAAGATGACGATCAACGCCGACGGCGATGATGCCATGGACGTACGTGAAGGGGCCTAGTAGGTAAATAAACAATGGAGGCGGCGAGCTCGATCCGTCAGAAGATGTCGAGGATCTCCTGGATGAAGCCGTTGCAGAGCGGGCAGTTGCCGCGGCTGACCCAGAGCTCGCGGGAGCAGAGGCGGCAGAAGGTGTGGCCGCAGGGGATGAAGGCGGCGCCCTTGTGCCGCACCATGCACACGCAGCACACGTGCACCATCTCCTCCTCCCGCCCCTCGCCGTCGTCCTCGTCGTCGTCGCCCTCACCTTTCTTGCGCGCGCCGCCGCCGCCGCCATCCTCCTCGTCTTCGTCGTCATCCCACTCGTCCGTCTGCCCCAGCAGCGCCATCAGAGACATTTGCGCCGCGGGCGCCTCCTCCTCCTCCTCCTCCTCCTCCTCCTCCTCCTCCTCGTCCTCCTCCTCGTCGTCGTCCTCTTCCTCTTCCCCGTCGTCGTCGTGACGTCGCTCTTCGACGTCGCGGAAGTCGTGCGTCGCGGGGCGCCTGGAGCTGGAGCGGTAGGAGGCGGGGCCGACCCGGGTGGACGCGACGCGCGAGAACGTGGGCGTCGCCTTAAGCGAGGGCGCGCGGGAGAAGGTGCGGGAGAACGCCGCCGCCGCCTCGCCAGGGTTGTAGTTGTACTTGTTGCTGCGGTTGTTGGCGCTGCTGATGTTGCTGAGGTCGCCGCTGTTCGTCGGGGCGTGGGCCGCGGCCGCGCCGGGCTTAGGTTTCTGCCAGGCGCCCACCGCGCGCCGGAGCCGGAGCCGGTCCCGCAGCGGCTTCCAGCCGGTCGTCCTGTCGCCGCCGCTGCGGGACCCCTGCGCGTCCACGGCCGAGGGGCTATCGCCCTCGCCGACGTCGGCGTCGTGGGGGATCTTGAGGAAATTGCGGATGACCGGGTCGGGCGTGGACAGCTGCTCGGACAGCGTCATCGTCCGCCGCATCTCCGGCCGCCGGCCGTCCATCTCACTGGGCCGCCGCCGCAGGTAGGTGCCTGGCTCCTGGTCGGAGTTGGAGGCGAGGCGATAAGGTTGCGGTAGATGCGGGGAGGTGGCGTCTTATGGCCGGGTTGGATCGCGCGCGGGGACGGGGGAGGAGAGGCGTTGGACACGGGGGGGAGCTTGGAGCGGGTCTCGCGGGCTTTTTAAACTGGCGTATATACAATTACCGCAACGTGCGGACAATTGGTCCCAAATTACCTTGGTGCCATGCAAGCGTAATCGCCGGCCTTTCTATTTATGGGCAGGGAATATTTTTGTGTGTGAGTTTCACGCCCCTGTTTTTTAGTTGGGAGCATGCTATTTGTAGCGCACAATTTTAGGTGTCAAAAAAAGATGAGAAATATTATTTCCAAGACGATATAAACGTACAAAATGACTACTTAACATGCTATTTTGTAGTGCTTGATTGTCTTGTTTTTTGTCGAGCAGAATTGTTTAGTTGGGGTTGTCCATTGCAGAAAATAGTAATCATCTATGGCCATATGTATCCAGCAGTTCGACTGCTCATCTTGAACTTCTATTTTTTCTTCCTCATCCTTACATGTGTGTTGTACTACCTTGATGTTACTCGCTCCGTTTAAAATTATAAGATATTTTAGTATTTTTAGATTATATATCTAAATATAGTGTAAATCTATATTAAAAAAGCTAAAATGTTGTACAATTTAGAACGGAGGAAGTATAATTTTTCATACTTGGTTTTTGTCAACTGAGTCCAGAAATGTGTTTTTTTTTATTTGCATTGTTGCTTTTGTTTTTTCCGATTTAGACCACTAGAGATCAAGGAGTCAAATCAAAGTATTGCTCGCTTGGGAGTCATTTTCCTAATGAATCGATTCATCATCATCACAGGAGAAGAACCGTCTCCAGGAAAAAAAATCTATGTGACAATGTCGCATCATACAATGCAGTGCAACACCTCATTATGGATACACAACCAAGCATGGCACATCTGAGGAGAGTCGCGCAAAAAGCCTATTGGGGGCACTGTTGCAAAAAAATTTTCCAAGTCTCCACCACCAACACCTCATTCCTTGAGGTGTACAGTACCCCCTCCCCTCCCTTCTCTGGTCATCCCTAGCGGTCATGGCACACTTCTGTGGCATAGTTCCGCTAGTACTCCACACTCTACCACTGCTCTCTTGCCATCGGGCACACCATCGTTGAAACGTCATATACACCGTCCGTTTCGAATTATAAGTCGCTTTTACTTTTTTGGTTTATTTATTTTGCTATGTACCTATACATATTATTATATCTAGATGTATAGCGGAATGGATGTAAAAAAAAAAAAGTCAAAGTGACTTATAATTTGGAATAGAGAAGTAGTTTGTAAGTGTCTATCATGAATCATAACCTAGCTAGTGTTGCTGAGTGCTCAAATGACTCTGTACATTTGTGATAAAAAAAGAATCAATTGTTGAATGCCTCCAAAACACTCAAATGTTGTTTAGGTTTGTGTTCAGTTATTGTTTTACGGGATGGCTATTAGTTTGGATTTTTTTTTTTCGTGATTTTTACCTAGCGATATGTATATGATGTGTGCCGGACTGCCGTAACATTTAGAACAATCATCCGCCAATTGTTAGATTTCAAAGTGCAATGCAAAGTTATACAGGACGTACAGATAGTAATAATACAAAGAAGAGTAAACATTCGTGCAAGTGGCTACTTGAACAGCTTCTGCCGTTATGCGTGGTGCGTGCAAGCAACGGCAGGCCGACAGTCGGTGCATGTGTCCGTTCTTTACTGTTAACCAGGCATCAGAGTGCGCTGAACCTCTCGAAACACTTCACTATTTTCTTTAACCGTTTCGACACAAAACAAAAACAGACAGTACCACACTAGCTACGGTCTACGGAGGAGTTCTTTTACGTTTTCCTCAACTCAAAACTTCGTCAAACTAAACATCGGTGCCTGCGTGATTCTACCTCTCATCTCTACGTTACTAGAAAGCAATCTTAGAATAGTACGAAGTACAATCCAAGTTTACGAACGTTTGGTGTGGCTCACTCTACCGTTGAAGCTTCCCATTCGCCCTCCATCACCAACATTATGGTACCGGTCCAGCTTGGTGTTTGGTTTGAGGACGACGACGACGTCTCTACTGCCAGAAAAGGTACCTGCAGGCTGCAGCATTATGTATGCAGATCACCGCACTCGTACGCACATTTGGTGGTATGCTGAAGCTTTCAATTTGGACAGGTCTATCAATCCATCAGTATTTTTTTTTAGGAACAAACAGTGTTTTCCTTTCCACTTTTCCTATACTTGAGTTGCTTGAATTTTGTGTTGTTGTTCAGGCGATGTTCTATGATAAATTTTACGATGTTCACGTAGTATACATATGATGTTTTATGATGTATTTTACGATATTCACGTACACACGACAGTCGCTTTGAATTTGTGTTTGCTGTTTAGGCGATGTTTTCGTGTAGTGTACATCTAATATTCTATGATGTATTTTATAAAGTTCGCATAGTATACACGTGATATTCTATGGCTGTTGCTTGAAGAAAAGTCTATTCTTCAAACAGCTGAAATATAGCAAATCTCTTTCCTCTCATAGTGTAAGTCAAATCAAGTCAGCGGGACCAAAAAAAAAGGTGGGCAGGGTGAGTCCTCCTCTCCGCTGTACATTTGCCTTGCCATGGAGTGAGTTTCAAATCTTTGACTTTTTAATTCTCTTTCACTAGCTATAAAAATTGTCCAATTATATTTAGGCTTAAAGTTCGCCTTGTCGCTTGCTATTGCAACCACTTCAGTTGACCTTCTCTACAATTTTGGCAGCGGACGTCTAAACGGGGCCTCAGTTGACCTCTCTACAATGGCAGCGCAGCGCTGATGCGCGCGATGCAAGCTAGCTGATTGGCAGGCACCTCACTGTTCAGTGTTCATGCGTAATTGGGGAGCGTGCAGCGTTAGGTGAGGCCGCGTAATCTAATCCCTGAGGGGATTTCACTTGTCCTGCTGTTCTGCAACTGCAATGCAGTCTGAACCGGAGTCCTACATGATTAGCCATTAAGGTCATTAATTACAGCACAGGGCCGGGAATAATCAGTACTGCTCCATGAGAGGAGTGCCAGTGTCCAAGCATCCAAGGCAAGGATAGTTTGGTGAGGCAGCGTAGTATAGTACGTAGTCCCCATAGATAAATTTTGGTATGCCGTTCTCCTGCAGATCTAGAGTCTGAACTGAACAGGGCGTTCTGATTAGCAAACAGGGAATCAGTACCGTTGCTTCACGAGGCCGGTTACTTACCGGACTGTCAGTGCTCATCATGCGATGGCTGCAACTGCAAACAGGGGGAGGACGCCAATAATGCGATGCGACGCGCTATGGAACAAGACGAGGCCGGACGGCCTCGCGCGCCGGACAAGTGCCAAAACTGGCATTCGGATTGGATCTGCCGGCCGGATCGGAGGAGCAGCGAAGCATCAACTGGGACACTCCCCAATTACGAGCCGTGATTAGGAGGTCGGGACGGGTGATTGGGCGCCACGGGCACCCCGGAGCCGGTGGGTCCGCGCGCGAAGGCGCCGGGCCAACAGCCTCCCCCGCGCTTGGCTGTGGCCGTACGCGTGTGGGGGCTCGCTGCCGCCGTCTGCTCCCCGACGGCGGCGACGCCACGTGCGTGCGCGCTTGCTCGATGTCGTGCCTGGGCTGGGCACAGCCGCACAGGGCAGTGACGCCTGATCCCCCGCTCGTGCTCCCTCGTAGCGTCGATACGTAGAGCACCGGCGTCTCACGGTCACGGCCACTGGAAGTTGGCGCCAACAACTTGCGACTGCCACTTACGCTACTATAGGACTAGGAGGCGATCCATCGATGTCCATGTCCATCAAGCGAGTAGCGTTTCTGCGCCCAAACGGCAGCCACCAGCCAGTGACAGGCGGCTCTACCTCTACTTCGACTGACGCGACGGCACTGTGTCCTGTAGCCAACGGGCATGTTTTCTCCGTAGATTTTCTCTGATTGGATCCCTAATCTCCTGCTCATCTCCTGGTTGCGGTGGATGGAACGGAGCGGCGGCATCCAGCAGGCACGCACCTGTGACCTGCTGCAGTGGAACGCAGGGGCAGGCAGAAGGCACGCACCGCCAGGCGCCACCCGTATCGCCGTGCTGCAGCGACACGCACCCCAGTGTATACGGGCGCACGGCGCGACGCGTCGTCACTCATCCGTGCCGCTGTCGAGCGGCAGGTCCCGGCTCCGTGCAGCGCGCACGGACGCGCGGCATCGATGGCGCGGGCCAGCACGGGGCCGACCACGGGCGAGCCGCGCGGTGTTCAGGCTCGGCCATGGCTGGCGTCCGTCGGGGACCGGCAAGGCGTCTCTGCTGCGCTTCAACTCCGGCTTCGCGCGTTTGTGTGCGTCATGTTATCCAATCCAACAGCGTCGGTCGTCTCCCGGACCGGACGGACGGACGACGGCTGTGGCGGGCGCAGATCAGTCGTCATTTCAGCAGGGATCCGGAATGTGATCTGGGCGCACTTGCGGGATCCTGACAGGTATCACAGACAGGAAGCCCAGGGCGCGGGCAGCAGGACAGGAAGAGGGTGGGGTTCGGGACCATGACGACGATGACGGATGCGAGGCAGGATAACAACTTCTCACCTGCTGCGCTGAGTGCTAAGTGCCTCGCTGGTCCATCATCAGTCGGGGCTCTTGCCGATGAGCAGCGACACCACAAGACTGGGGCAGCATCCGTGGGTCCAATCCTTGTTGCTCTTCTGAGATTGGACCATACTGTTTCTGCAGTTGGGCTTCAGGTTTTAGTTTTAGAACAGCTCAGGCAAACAAAACCAACCAGATAACAGAATTCGCTTGGCCGTATTTGGCTTATAAGCCATGGCACTTATCAACCAACGAACAATATTTTTCTCTCACACCAAACCAGCCAACAGTACTTTTAGCCATGGCTTATAAGCCAAGCCAGCCCAAACGAACTGGGCGCAAGTTGA